ATATTTATGGCCTATTCCAGCATGTTTGACAGCTTCATCAAGTTTTTTTTTGTTGTTTTTTTTTTACCTTTTGCTTTGCATTCCTTTAGGGGAAACTACAGCTCTCTTTGCTCAACTCTAAGCATGCACAAACATTATCCTCCCCTCAATGCCCCTTGACAGTCATGGTTTTAAGAAAGGGGGCAACAGGTGCACATTTTGGATGCTTCTCTGACAGCCTGGCAGGTGTGCAAAACAGACCCAAAAGCAGCATGGACTGTGTGGCAAAACTCTGGGAAAAAACATCAAAAACTCTGATACCTTATGTGAGAGTTGATGACAGGAAGTTGGTCTCGCAGGGCAGCATCCTCCACTTTAGCAAATTAACCTGCTAGTCAGTCAAGGTGGTTTTGTTGTTCAGTTTAATGAAAAAGGGTCAGGTTGGCATCAATGGCTCCCTTTGTCAAGTTGATGACATAGATATGTGTTTTTTTTTTATCATTATCACTTTTTACCTATAGTACCTTACAAAGTACTTGAACCTTTCTACCTTTCTGTAATTCTACAGAACCAAAATGCTTTGGATTTCATTGGGATCTGGTAGCACAACATAGTGAAAATCAGAAAACTTTTAAATGGATAGTAGTAGGTGACTGTGGCTTATATTGAAGAGTGTTTGTTATTAGAAAGTTGTGGGCTTAGTAGCTGTATCCCCTCTCGCATGTCGACGTGGTCCTTTGAAAGGCACGTATCTCCAAGTTTCTCTGCCAATCTGTGAATCAGTATATGATGGGTTAGTGAGTGTGGCTGATTGGGTGCTTTGAGTTGCCAGCATGATTGGAAAAAACTGTATATATTCAGTCCATTTACCATTATATCTTGCTCGCTTTCATTTAAAGGAGTGAATCTTTTTCTTTAGATTTGTCAGCATTGTCTTTTTACACTAATATTTGTACCTTTCGAAAGAAACCAAGATCACCGGTATTGGTTGGGAAACATCTGTGAACAGTAGCTTTAAATTTAATTAAAAACTGTTTGATTGTAGTTCTAGCTATGTGTTTAGGCTCATTGTCATGCTGTGAACCCCAGTGTCACGGCTGGCTAACCTCCAGCATTTCCTCATCAGTTTTCATCACTTTCTTGGTTTGTGCAGAGGGATAATCGCAGCAGCACATTTTTTTTCTCTCATGAAAATGTGTTTTGGGTTTTGTTTTTTTTTTATAATTTGTTTTTTACAGTGGTCTGGAGGATTTCCACGTTGGCCAAAAACTTTCAGTTTGATCTCATATGAGTGGTTATCTGTCCTCTATAGAGCTCATGGCAAACTACTAATTGTTCCTCTTGGTTTGCTTGTACAGATTGTCAGCCATCCGAGTCACGGCAATCACAAACAGGTTCAAATTGAATAAAACCAGACCTTTCTGGAAATATTTGGACACCTATCCAGAGTATTTGAACAAATCCAAAAGTATTTGTCATTACTGCTGGCTCTCACTATAGCACTCTTAGTTTGATAACAGATGTGTTTTTAAGCACATGGAGGCCCATACTTGGTGCACTCCAAGTTTAATGCCAATCTACGACCCATGCCTCTTTCTCCTGGGCAATTAGAGACTACCATTAGGTGAGACTTGTTTTCAGCTATCTGCATCACCATGATACTCCTTATGTAATTTCTATGGATAAAGTTTTAAGACAGGGTTCAATATCATTGGAAGCTAAAACTTTAATCTACACCCTCTTATTGTTACTGGATTTTTATTTTTTGACAAAGATGGCGTCCTTTACCCCTCTTTCAAACTATCTATCATCTCTCTCCAGGACCTGAATATTATTAAGTGTGTCCTTTACGCTTGAGGTGCAAGTGTACTGCTGAATGTTGCCCTGTGCTGTACTATTTGTTCATGTAGATGTTATTTGGTTTCTCTGTTTTAGGACTCTGAGCACACCAGACCTTATACGTGCCTCTCAGCTTTGGTTTAGGTATTTTTTCTTTGGGATGAAGCAGTTTTTGTCCAACAGTGATGTTCATTTTGTACTAATATTAAGTGTTTTCAGTGAATCCCTCTAAATTTAAAAAAATAAATGAATAAATAAATAAATCTGGTCTGCTTCGTCCTGTGTTAGACCTAATGTTTTTTTCTTGCTAGCTTTGTTGTATTACTAGACAAGTCCCAAGTTTAAGTAACCGGGGGCTTTGAATTATTTCCTGATATGCTTATATATTTTTTTTAGGTTTCTCCACTGGAACAGAGGAGAATCCGATCCACCCCAGAACTTAGAGTCCTGATAACCAGCATTTTATCTTCCAGTGGCTGATGTGAATTAAAATGCAGACTTTAATCTGTGTGTGTAGGTTTGCGGTAAACCTCTGTATTGAAACCTCCATGGTTCGTGGTGTGCTCAGCAAAGTACCTTCTGGAAAAGCTGCTTTTTTCTGGACTTCCATCAAAAACATGTTATTTTTAGCATTCCCTCTTGTTAACTTGATGTTTCTTTTCACTGAGTTAATGTGTTTAGTGAACCTGTTAAACCATTTGATTTGGATCTGAGTGTATCTAAAATAGTCAGTTTGGGCTGTTGCAGAGTTCTCTGCTCTTCACTTCTTCCAAATAAATATCAGCCACAATGCGTAAAACTGGGGAGCCCATTGCATACCCATTGTTCTGACTGTAAAAGTTTTCTTGCTTGAAATATGTGGATGACAGACAGAAGTCAAACAGTTCACAAAGCTGGTTTGATGTTAAACTGGGTCGTACGGATTCTTTATGCCACTATTTAAATAGGGCCAGATCTGGGAAGCATACAACACATGGTTGTCGTTGTCGACTTATTCTCTCACCAAAGCTATGAATCTCTACAGCCTCACTCCAGAGACAGTAAGGGTCTCTTGGGTGCTTCTCTATATATGTTCTCTGTACTCAGACTGTAAGCTTAGAACAGCTGTGTCTGGGTAGGTCCGGAGCTGAGTCATCGTCTATCTGTTTTTAGAAGGCAGAAGTTCCCAATAAATGAAGATTGGGATTTCATTATGACCTAAGCCTACTTTAAACTTATTCTCAACCATATTTGCTTTTGTTTTCTTTTTTACTGATTTTCCCTGAGACCTCAGAGCCCTTTGTGAAATAGCCAGAATTGTATTCCATACTATGAATCTCATTAGCCTGCATTTTGTCATTAGCAGCTATTTTGAATGTATTTGTGAAGTATAGGTGGCTTACACTGACTCCTAAAGGAGCTATAAGCTGTCATAAAGATCTTAGGCCTCGCCTGTAAAGGCTGAGTAGAGATGAGGACAGAGGAAGACAAAGAGGTGAGTTTAAAAACATGTGGTATCTATGGCAAAACGAAGAGTATAGACGATAGGGAGAAAGTAAGGATGGGGAGGTGCACTAATGAAATAAGCCTCATAGATGAAGGGTGACGAGGTGAAGGAGAGGAGGGAGACTTCAAAGCACTTTGATGTCACAGCCTTTCAGACAGACAACTCTGCTCCAGCCATCCACTGTGCACACAATCAAAACCCTTACACACACACCCGCACACAAGCGCGTGCTAAAACAAACGCGCCGCAACGACGGCGGAAGGGCAGAACTTCGTGAAGTTGCCCGCTCTTGCATCACGCTCTGTGAACTAAGGTTGCCGCTGACACTACAATCCCCACATGCTAATATGGCGCAAACACAAACAGTCTGACAGGTTAATTTACTTCTAGACAAACACCACAGCCAAAAAATACACATCAGCACATCATCAAATGCAACAAGCTTACTCAGACTTGTACGTACAGATGCAGGCAAACAAAACACTTCATCAATTCAAAGGATGGCTTCCTTTCCTCTAAAACTTCTGTTTAAACCACATTGTGTTGTACGGTTTTGTGTGTGTGTTCTACACTTTCTCCTCAATTACCACCTTTTGGAAAGTGAAAGTTAAAGTAATTATCTTTCTGTTATAATGCACTATCTTATTAAAATGCAATCACATTCATGGAAGCTAACAGGATAGTCTCTGAAGAGACATCCTTTGTCCTTTACCTTATATTGCTAATTATTTGTTTTGAGTCACATTGAACAGTTTGACACTCAATTAACAGACGAGGCTCCATTCTCCATAGGCTGTATGTTTGTTTATTTTCAGATATATTTTTTTACATTCATAGGTATGCTAATTAGTAGGAATGCGGGTGCTTGTCAGTGCGGTGGGGTCTGTGTGTGTATGGGCGGTGGAGGGGGGGTAGCCGCTCTGTGGCATGGTGTGGAGTTGCTTTGGAAGATACAGGTGTTTGCAGTCAGCGACGCTCCATGTGGAGAGCAGCCTCTTGTGGGTTTGCGTTGTTGATTTCTATTGTGAACCAGACAGTTTGATAGGAAATCAAAGCCCAGAATCAATGTCTCAAGTTCATTAACGGTTGCCCTTTTCTGGCCCATACTTTTACTATTGTTCACTGCAGCCTCGGATAAGCACTTACATCTCAGGTTAATTAAACATGTCTTCCAGTTACATGAACTTGGACGTTTGTGTGACTGTATACATACAGATGAGATTGATGTGGGCTCGCTGGTAGAAGCATGCATGTTGTTTTACTTCCTGTCTAATGTTGCTCTGTTCCCTTTGACCTTCTTTTAGTGTCTTTCTATTATGCCCTCACTGCTGTTTGGATAGACCATTGATTCGGCAGTGAGCTACAAATTAAGATTTAAATGTTATGTCATCCTCACTATTGAGTTTTACATCTAGGGCATTTGCAAAATGCAAGACTTATTGATCTGCAGAAGTGTGGCCTTTTGTTAAAGTTACCTAAGGCTAATACCACTTTTATTTTATTTTTTTCCAATTTGGTTGGGCTTAGGGTTAAGGACTCAATGTTTTAGCATAAAAATGTCAATACAGTTTAATAACTACTGATTTTTTTTCAGCGGTTTTGGTAGAGTCAGTTTAAACGTATTTTTGTGTCTCTCTTTGATGTAGATCTGACATTTGAGGTTTGTTTGTTTTTTTTGTTGTTTTTTCTTTTAAAGGAAAATGCCTCATCCGAAGAACACGTGCTCTACGTGTGGGACCACTTTGTGTCCAGTGCTGCGGCTAAGAATGTCTTCATTATTGCCCACAGCTACGGAGGTCTGTCTTTTGTCGAGTTGGTAAGTGTTGTTAGTTTTTCACCTGCTCCCTCTAGTTCCTATTAACGCTGCATTGACACAGAGAATGTCATTCTCACGATTCATCTTCAAAAATGAATTCAGATCTGCAACTTTACATTACACAAAGATATTACTTTTGTTGTAATAAAGTCTAGACAGCCCTGTGTAAACTCTATAATACAGACCTTGGTAAATGATTGTCTTTTCACCTTTAAAGCTAAATGTATCCTGCACATGTTAATTAAAAAAGACAAACATGTATACATTAAGGAATTAACAAATTAGAATTCTTCCATCAACTATTTTGACAGTAAAAGTGGAAGTCGAGTTAATGCGTGATTTTATGACAACATCTCATTGTAACTGTTGAACTCAACTCAAAGTTTATTTATAAAGTGCATTTAAAACAACTGGGTTGTTAAGGAACATAAGATAAAAACTGAAGGCTAAAATACATAAAAACATTACAAAAAGAGAAATTGAATGGAGATAAAATATATCAGGATAAATGTTTATATTAAAATACATTTTAAAATAAAATACGATTTTAAAGTAAAATTTTGCCAAATGTCCGCTTAGACTTGATTAAAAGCAAGTGAAAAATAGATTACGTCTTTCTGCAGCAACGGTCTTGGTTATATTAGTTATATCAAGTTGTTATGTCTGCAATTGGATGTACTTTTTTTACTTTATCTTACAAGCATCCTCTCGACAACTAAACTTTTTTTTTGCTTTTTTTTTTTTCTACAAACCTCGTTAGTTGTTCTACTTTGGCACCAACAAAAAAACTCATAAGTTCACTTATCGGTTTTATCCTTTTCCCTTTTTTACTCATATGTTACTCATATGTATTTTTTTGTTGAATTATAGAAAATCTGTGTGTTAAAAGGCGCAATATGTTTTTACATGTCAGAGCCTCGGTAAATAATAAAAAAAATAGACATTAATAAACAGTGAAATAAGATGAGCTCAAGCTCAGCTGCTACTTTCGGCCTGATTCATCATTATCCTCAGTTTCTAAGCATCTCCTTTGGACATCAGGAAAAGGATGAAACGCAAGGAAGATGGAGGTTTTGGATATGTCGGGATGAGGATAATCTACTTTACACTTGCTCTGTTGCAGCGCTTGTAGATCTCTCTGCCTTCAGACAGACGGTGGATAGTTTAGAAGCTGGTGGGAGGGAAGTGGATTTGATAGAATTAATGGTACACAGGGGACTCTGCAAAGAAAAAGAAAGAAATGTTTTGTTTCATTCTGAGCTTTATAACCCTGCCTTCCAGCAGAAATGGACCTTCAGTGAGTTTCTCATAGTTTACGCTTCGATTTTATTTCTCGAACTATACACTAAATTAGTAATTTTTCAACAGATTTAACATTAACCACTATTAAGGTTTATATTGCCAATTTACAGGTGTTACAAAATGAGATGGAACTAGATTGGTTACCATGCTGAAAGCTCAATTAAAAAAGTAGAATCAAAATAAGTATTATTTATAAAATAAACAAGAAGAATATAGAAAATAAGCAAGGTTTGCAATATAAATATAGAAAACTAACTGCATAGAATTTTGAACTGTAATAGTGGGAGATTACTGCACTACTATAATGTACAACAGTAGACAACCTCAAACTCTCCTCTTGCGCTCTATAATTGTGGTAGTCTGCAAGTGTAAATGACTGTACTCTATAAATGTTGTGTGTACAACAGATGTCGCTTCTGTAAAGACTTAAACTCGCATTTTAGCTGTCCTTTTTTATGCTGTAGTAAAAGAAGCATTATTTTCAACTATGTACTATGGGCATGCTAATGTAGCATATGTTATGTTAAAGGAATGTTGCAGCGATATTTATACTCACAACAATGTCCATTTCTTCTACCTCTTGAGAGGGTGCAAAATTGTGTAAAAATACTTTTAAATTGTGACATTTCTGTGTGGAACTTCTTGCTTTTTCTTAAAGATTTTCAATAGTATGACTTCAAAGTACTGCACTTCATTAGCTCTGCTGATATTTTACACTCCTTGTATTTGAAAGCATCCTCATGAGCTGGAGCTGGGCACAGCTTATGTCTCTGGTTTGTTTGATATAAAACAAATACTGCTAGGTTTACTATTTCCTGTATTATTTGGGAGATGGCTTTTTTCTTTTCTTTAAAAGGAGAGAAGTAGGAAGAAGGCAGCAATGTCTTAGCAGAAGTAACGTGGAATTAAAGGTTTGAAATTGTGCTATTGGCGTTCACAGAGATATTTTCTGTCCATTTCTTTTCTCTTTTTTTCCTGCTATTTTGTAATTTTAATTTAGCTGCTAAATATTCATGTGGTGTTTTGTCTGTGACAGACTCGTGTTCTCCTGGGTCTTCTCACTGTGTGACGAAGACCATCTATTCTCTCCGTTTGAATCAGTCAGGCTGTGTTTTCTTCATTTTCTTTCTCTCTTTTTGTGTTATTGTGCAAAAAAAAGACTTGGGTAAGCTCCTTACTTTCTACTTCTATGCCATGTCCTTGTCATATAACATATGCCCTTAGCGATATGCTAATGTTGCAGATAACTCCATAGCATATCAGATATAGAATAAAGAAAAATCACATTAAAAATCGAATTTTATTGCAGCAGATAAATCGATGGAAATACACTGTTTCAGGTGTTTTATGAGTTACTGTAGAGCTTTTTGTTTCAGGATTCTAAAAACCTCTTCACTGTAAAGTTATAAGATAAAACAGATTTTTCAGGCAAAGACTTTTTTTAAGTGTTGTCCAGGTCTGGATATATAAATGAAAATGATTCCCAGCATCTCTCTATAAATCGTTCATCTATTAACAATCTATCCATAAACTATTCAACAATCCATTTTCTTTCTTTTTCGTTCTTTATAATTTAAAGTTAAAGTTTGAATAAGAAAAAAGAATTAGATAGTTTGGAATTTAAAGTTTGGAAAAGTCTGGAATTTTGTCAAAATATGACAGAGCTGACTGTGGTTTTGTTGTATTTACTGATCTCAGTCCAACAACTGTTTTTGTTGCTTTTTTGCATTTAAAAGTGATCAATTTTTTAAGGTTTAAATGCTGCACAATAAGCTCTTTTTAATACTAAATTAGAATAAAAAACATTTTAACCTAATCTTATCTTATTTGAAGCAATCTCAAACTTTAAAGTTGTCAGTATTCATTTCTTTATTCCTGCTGTTAAGCATTCTGTTATCCACTCATGTCAACACAACTACACACATATACATTATATACACAAGCTCATAGTCTACTTAATTGAGGAGAAAGTGGTCCAGTGAGATGGGATGTGTGTGCATGAGCTGGCAAATGGCTAGCGAAGCCTTTCGGGATGAACCATTTGACACATGAGAAGACCCAGAGAAAACAAGCTGTCTGTGGGTTAATTACTGCTCCCCTTTGCAGTTAATAAATACGTTTCTGATCAAGCACATCAAAAGGCCTAACATTAATTTCTCTTGCCTGCTCCCCTACTGCAGTGCATGTTAGCCAGTGTTTAGAGGGCTCGAGTGTTTCAATGCTATTTGATTCTTTTAAAACACTTCACAGTGTGTGCTGGTTAATTAGACACATCAAAGACTAACAAACTGCCTTTGAATAGCAGCAAATACAGGTAAATAGAGAGTTATACTGCAAGGAATGATTGCTGGCTGGTTCTCAAGCTCAGCCATTCACCTATCCGTCCACAGTCCTACCTATTCCTGTACTGTAGACATTCGGTCAGACTGTTTCTTGTTGTTTATTTTTTTCCTCCCTCTGCAGCTCTTTGGTCTGCAATGTTTGAAAATAACTCAGTCTTTCTTTAGGTGTCAAATCATGTTTTTTCTTATAGTTCGTAATTTATCAGAAACTATTTGAGGATTTGTACCAATATAACCCATCTCTGTGTTTGTAATCGAACTCAAACATGTAGAAGAAAGTTTGGGATCTAAGCTCTATATTCTGCAGATCTATTCCAGCTGTTTTTGTTCTTTGATTAAAGCATCCCAGTGTCTAAAATGAAAAAGGAACAATTTGGTTGGACTGAAAGACTTGCTTTCAGCCTTTTACATTTTTTTTTTATGTCCCCATCACTCAAAATCACCAGAGCAGAGATGCCTCTCAATTACAAAGTCATCAACATATTAATGTTACTCTATTTTAGTGATACCATTATTGTATAAATCAAAAACTGTTTTAATATCTTATTGGTGGGACAGACAAGTATTATGCAATGACTTATATAAGAATGCATCTGTCTCCCAGTACAGCAGGATATGGATGTCAAACAGCCCACCACCACCACAGCTCCTCAGAGACATAGTTATAGATTTTTGAATATCCCCTGTGAACATGCTGTATATAAACTGTACATGGTATCTGGAAATCTTTCTCTGTCATGCCATCTGTTTCAATTCAGTCTTCAGTTGATGCAGAGTCTTTCTTCAGCATCTTTAGTTTTGCTCGTCTATGTATAATGATTGCTGTGGGAGGCGTTGGATATTGAAAAACATTGCTCAGGTGAGACAGGTCAGGAAATTTTTTGTCTTCAATGTATCTCTGGTTTATTTTTGCATATTTTCATATTGAAATTTCATATTGCCTAGTGGTTGGAGCAGTGCACTTGTGCTCTGAGAAGGTTGCAAGTACCCGTTCGATCACCACAGCCTCCACTCTGGGTCCCTGACACAGACCCTTGACCCCACAGTACTCCCCAGACGCCACACAATGGTAGCCCACTGCTCCCCAAGGGGATGGGTAAAATGCAGGGATAAATTTCTCCAATGTAAAATCAATAAAGTTCAATTATTATTATTATTATTAAAGAAGGCAAGTTATTTTTCTATACAAGTTCATTTTTAACTGTAGTTGCATTTTTTAACTACACAACTTTATGCTTTAGTTCACAAGTATTTAGCTTTAAATTTCATTCTCCTTGTTTTTCCTTCTGCACTATCTATTGATAACATTTAAGATGTGCCTTAGGCAGATTATTGCTATCTATGCACTCTAAGCAG